CCCCCCCAAAAAACTGGAGGGCGGTAGTAGTAGGAAAATGTATACTTTTGCGTAATGATGTTCGTGATATTCGCCAACGGATAATGATGAAATATGTTTAACCAGTTCTGCTTCTGAAATGACTGATGACAATTAAATATCCAACAGCGTTCTGAGACCGTTGTCGATCTTCACCATTTTCTTTCCTTGATCTTTTCAGAATTTCTTCATTTATTCATTGATATCTCTGATATAACATTTTCTTTTCTCATTTTAGTTAAAAGAATTTTTGAAAGATCCGAGTAAATTTACTGCAGCTGCCGCAGCTCCAGCAGCCCCGGCTGGTGGTAAAAAAGATGAAGTGAAGCCAGAGCAGCAAAAACCTGTAGCAGCTGATCCTGAATCGGATCCTGAAGAAGGTGGTTTTGATATATTTGGTTAAATAATCATTAGAACAAACAACAAAAGTATCAAAAAGTTGTTTCGTTCTCATATATAGTGTTTAATGTTTGTTAATTTTATTGAAGAAAAAAAACCGAATAAAATAAAATTTACATTCATATTTTAAAAAATAAAGGAAATAACACAAGAGTATAGGAATACTTTAGTTGTCTCCACTTTAATTGGATGCTTTTCAAAATAGAAGGTTATGTAATTAGTACAAATATCATATATAGCATTCTATTTGATGTTGAATGGACACAATATCGAAGTTTAGAATTCATTAGTTAAAACCTTAAAATATCGAAAGAAAAAGTAACGATCTATAATGATTAAAAATTAATTTAGATTCTGATCATCATTTTAAGTTGAAATTTGTTTTTCTACAATAGTTAATATTCATTTTCATATTTATATTAAAAAGTTTGACATAGTATGTTTGTAGATAGAAGTTACGAACGGCACAAAAATGAATATTTTATTACAATTACTATGTCGATTAATTGAAAAAAAATGGATAGAAATTTAAAAGATCTCGATGCATATTGGTCGTATACAAAAACTTATATAAAAAATATACAAAAGATTTCGATTTTCTTTGTCAGTCTTCTCATTTACATCCTGTCAACTCTGGTCTTAGTTAAATTTTTGTACACAGAATCCATTGTATATTTTCATCAGGATCTGTTCTGATTTTATCCAAAAAAATTTATTCCACTCTTCTTTTTTTCCTAATGTTGTTATTCTAAGCCTCTTTCATAACTGCTATATATTTCGAAATATATCTTGTTCTTCAATATTTATATGAATTACTTTTAAGTGTTGCAACATCAAAACTTGCAATTTCTAATAACTTGTAGAAAGTACAAAGATAAGTCGATTTATGAGAAAATTTATTTATTTCAGGGTTTTTGAAGGTTCTATAAAAAACCCGTTAACATTTCCAAAGTTTTAAAGGCAGTACATTGATTTCTTATTTGGTATAGATAGTCGAATGATTCCATGAAAAGTCTACCACATTTACATTCAATGTATTTCGGCAAGCTACAAATGCTGGAAGAGAAAGATTTTGACTATCTTCGACTTGTCCAACTAACAGGCCTGTTTTCTCCCGTTTTTTCAACAAATTGTTGCAATAAAGCTACAAACTAATCTAAAATTACAACTAGAGAATTGAGTAGATTAAACATTTCTCTACAGAATGAAAAGTGTTTGGGCTCTGAACGTTGATTCGTTATGAAAATACAGCTGTTGTATAACAGCCCAAAAGATCGATTTGGGTACTATCTGAAAAACAAGTGGAGACGAGCAGGCGAAAATTGAACAAGTATACCAGTTTGTAGAAAATTGTTTGCTCTACAAGATGTAATAGCTTTTTAAGTTCGAAACTATTCTAATTAATTTGTATTAATCAAAGAAAAATCAGCAAAACGGTCAAAAGCGTTACAGGGTCACGATTTTGCTGATTTTTCTTTGATTAATACAAATTAATTAGAATAGTTTCGAACTTAAAA